TGCAGGATTTCAATTACCTCAGCAGCAACTGCTTTGAAATCACAGTGGAGCTTAGCTGTGAAAAATTCCCACCTGAAGAAACTCTGAAGGGCTACTGGGAGGACAACAAGAACTCCCTTATCAATTACATTGAGCAGGTAACAAAAAAGAGGATGGCAAAACTCTAGCTGTTGTACATAAAACTTCTAAATTTTGTGCTGTATGAACATCTAATTCAAAATTTCATATTAGTCCAATTGCTGCTCTATAATTCTTATATATCTCTAAGGTGGTAAATCCCGTGTGATCTTTCTAAATATGTGGAAGAAGAGGGGAAAAGAGGGATGATGTTATAGTCTGGAATTCATCTCACCTTACTTAAGCTGTTACAGACATTTAATTTAAATGATTTGTGTCAGCTTCCTCAATGAAAAGAAATACACATCACCAGAGTGTATAATTCATTCCCCCAGCACTGATGTGTATACTAAGAAAGACAGATTGCCCTCAGATATGAAAGTGTGCATACAGGTGTGAGATGAATCACTTTGGATGTACAGGGAGCCTAGACGGCTGGATTAGACTGTAGCTGCCTGGCAGTTCAGTTTAACGGTAGGGGACATCTCTAGTCCTGGTTTTGTAGTTAGTCTCCTGCTCTCTGATTGCATGAGCTGCTGATATTCAATGTAGAGCTGTCAGTGTGATGATTCCATTAAAAATTATAGAAAATCTGGTTAGAAGTGTAAAGCATAGTCATAGGTTTAGATAATCGTGTGCTAATGGGTTATTAGAAGTTAAGACTCCTGATATAGATCTATATGTGTGTTTGGGTTTTGTTCTGTTTTGGGTTTTTCTATTACTTTTTGGGTTTTTTTGTTTTATTTTAATCATTTCATGCCAATGTAACAGGCTGCACTGGAATGATGGTTCCAAGCAGTGTGGGAATATTGAATTTCTGAAATCTGGATATTGTAGTTAAAGATCACGAATATATCTGATATAATTAATGCCTGCACACCTAGGACTGCAAAATCAGAAACATACTTTCTCAGCAGAACTGGTCAATTAATACAGTCATTTCTTTAAGAACTTGTTTGTGCAGAAATGCTTTAGTTAGCCAGAAACCTGAAATATTTGCATATTTGAAATGTTGGAGTTACATCGTTCTATAAGTTAGTTGTATGTGGGCTGAGGCTAAGCTGTATCCACCCTGTAGGTTTTTACTGATTTATTATGGGATCCATCTCAAATTGTTCAGCTCCTTTGCATTTGGGTTAATTTTCTCTGACTCATGGAAAACTATAGTGTCACTGCATTTTCAAAATTACTAATGTGTAAGAGATTATTTTGCCAACTTCCCTTGCTCCTGCAGAGCTGCTGGCATTATCCTTGAAGTTCAGATGGTCTATCTGGCACTGGTTTTTATCCTCTTACAGGGTAAGAAGTCCAGCTCTACACTCCACCTCCCCTGTGATTGCTGAGGACAGTGCAAAAATGTACTTTCTGCTTTTCTAAGCTGATCTGTGTCAGGCTTCTTGCACAGTGTAAATTAGAGGAATCTGATGAACTAAATTATAGCAGCTGAATACACCATGTAGGTTCATAAAGGGGAACATCAACATCTCAAAATAAAATCCGTGATCCACAAGTCTTTTCAGGTATCACAGAATCAGACAGAAGCCTAAACTCCACAGTACTTCCCTGCTTAATTTCCCAGCTCCCAATGAGATGCATCTCTGCACAGGTTCAAAACGTCCCATTCTCCCTAGTGCTGAGAGCTTCTTATCTCAGGCTTTGAAAAGGTAGTTGATCCTCAGTGTCTTGCCTCTGAGGAGCTCAGTCTGCTTTCAGACCGTGCTTAAGAAATAACAGCAGGACTGGGCTTTCCACACACTGTGTTCAAGTCAGTGCTTTAATTTCATATATGCTGGGAACAGACAGATTAGGTACTGTTGGTGCTGTTGCTTGGAGTATGTTGCCTAAGAGGCAACAAGGAGCTAAGACGTGACCCACCATCGCCTTTCTCTTACAGGCCATGTGGGGAATGTTGTGACTTTATGTGGTCCTAGCTCCAAGACGTGGATGTTTTGGGTGCACAATAGAGAGCTCGAGCATCTCACACGGGGATTGCCTATCAATGTCCCAGTGCCCACATTTAACCTTGTTAATGTTTCGCTTTTAAGCAGTTATGTCCATTATTAGCACTAAGTTCTTACAGCTGTCTTTCAAAGCTTTTCAGCACATTCATTAGCCCCCAGTGATGAAGACTTTCAAGTCAGTGTTTGCATATGTTATGATTTTCTGTGTATTATATGAGAAATGTTTGCATTGCACAGAGAAATTAGTATAATTACCAGTTGAATTATTTTTCCTCTTCACTGTTTGTTCCATTATGATGTTTAGTAATTATCCTTGATAGTTGTCAGCATGTAGGCTGTGGGATCCATAACATGCCTTGTTAGATACATCAATAGATATTTCACTGACAAAAATGCCATCTTTTCTTAGGAGTTTTCCAGTAATTTCCCATGTGCTGCTGTCTTTATTTATGTATTTTAGATTCATCGAGGAGTGAAAGGGTTTATTAAAGATCTTCAGGGCAATCCAATAGCAAATGCTACAATTTCTGTGGAGGGGATAAGCCATGACATCACATCAGGTGAGTGTTGTACCTCAGCAAAACAAGAACTGCTGGAATATACTGCTTCTCCCTCTGCTTGGCATCCTAGAGCCATTTCAGATCTTATTAGGTGAAGCTTTAGGGGAGCAAAATTTTGAATCCAGGAAAGTGTGTTGTGCCTCAAGAAGGTTGTTGCCTACAGAATTTAATGAATCTTTCTGTTGTACTTTGCTCTCAGAGTAGCTGGAGACTGGTTGTTGGTCATGGATCTCTGGCGTGAATTTGTTCTGGTGGTTGTTGGTTATTCGTGCTTAGTTTGTCTTCTGATTTGTGGTGCAAGTAGTGTTTCACAGCTCTGCCAGGGTTCAAAGTCCTGTTGGCAGTGCTATTTTGAGTTTGAAGGCTAAATGGTAGTCCAGAAGTGTTACATTACTTAAGATGCAATCACACCTTTTGGTATGTAAATTCTTGCCAGATTTTCAGTTTACGTAATTTCCTCCTGTGAAGATAAATTCTGTCTGCTGTTTACAGTTATGTGCCTTTTTTTTAGAAGGGTGGCTCTAAAAGAGAAAACCATTGTGTTGGTGTTCCTAGAAAATTGTAACTTCAGTGGTGGTGTGCTTTATTCTAGGAATTAATTCAAAGGTAGCTCACACAGTGCCAACTTGCAGTCTTTCCTGTAGACCTATGCTTTCTTAGTCTGAATGACAATTTTTTTTGTTTGCACAAGATACTAATTAGAAAAACAATGATAAAACGTCATTGCTTTATTCATGAGCTTGCATAATGGTCATTTCCTCAATGATCTGTCTCACTATACCATTACAGAGATGCAGAATACTATGAAACAGGACTGGTAGACCTTTCAGTTGGCTTCAGTTTGTGTTTGTTCCCACATCACCTGCAAAGAGAACAGCGTTCTGCCAGGAAGAACAGTCTGTGATAACATTAGCCACCTTCTTTCACTGTGTATAAGAAGGCAAAAAGTATAGAGGCTGCAAATAAATTTTCAGGGATAATAAAAAGGGAATAAGCTGTGCAAAGAGGTATTTTGAGGTATGAGAGCATGATGCATATGGTGCTACAGCTCATGCTTCTACGATACAAAAAAGCATCTAATAATCATGAATCCTTTTGCCTCATTGTGTGTGTATAAGCCTGGAAGTCCTGTATTGTCAAAACAGTGAGGAAAACAAGTACTTGCATTTTAGCACATTTAAAAAGAAGGATAAATTTTCTTTGGCTTTTTTGTCCCCTGCTTCTTTGTTCGTGAGTTAAAATTCAGCTTTGTTCTAATGCCAGGATTTAGAATAGATCATTATCGTAGCTCAGCAGCAGTATTTTTTTCCTTTCTCTTTTATGAAGAGAAAGTCTGGGAACAACTGGACTGACTACTGACTTTTTTTGACTGTGTGAATCGCAGACATTTAAATAATATTTCCCTCTGTGCACTGTGTAGCTGCAGATGTGCTGAAAAAGCATTTAAGGAACTGGCAGTAAGAGCATGGCCAAGTCTTTTAAATGGCACTGTTAACTGACATTTAGAACAGCCTTGCAATGTTTTCTGGAGATAGAGTAATTCAGGGTAGTAGCCCGTGATGAATTAGGTAATTGCCCACTGCTGGTGCAGGGAGGATCTGAGTCTTTGTGAAAATAGAGAGGGTCATTTCTAGAGAAGAGGATGATTCTGTGACTGAAAAAGATGACCTGCAGTAACACTCAGTGCAGTAGGATACTTTCTCTGACCTAAGCAGATCAAGCTTTCATTTATTTGTTTAGCTGAATGGAAGACAAAAAGTGCTAGACACTGTGTGGATGCTGAAACATGTAGCTAATGGTGCTTCAAGGGTGACACATATGGAATACTCTAGAAAAAGATGATTTATAGCTTTCTCTGCAAGACAAATTGAGAAATGTGGTCCTATTTATTTAAATTTGATGGGAATAAAATGTATTTACATTTGGATTTTCAGAATACTGATGGACATTAAAAATACACATTGCATTGCAAACTGAAACTCATACACTTAAGAGCTGTACGTTGGCCAGGGGGTGCTTCTAAAGTAGAATAATCATAGGATCCAAGAATGGTTTGGGTTGGAAGGGACCTTAAAGACCATCTAGTTCCAACCTCCTTGTTGTGGGCCGGGACAGCTTCCACTAGACCACGTTGCTCAAAGCCCCATCCAACCTGGCCTTGAACACTGCCAGAGAGAGGGCAGCCACAGCTTCTCTGGGCAACCTGTACCGGTGTCTCACCACACTCACAGTAAAGGAATTTCTTCCTAATACCTAATCTAAATCTCCCCTCTTTTGGTTTGAAACCCTTACCCCTCGTCCTATCCCTACCCTCCCTGATCAAGAGTCCCTCTCCACCTTTCCTTCAGGCCCCCTTTAAGTACTGAAATGCTGCTCTAAGGTCTCCCCAGAGCCTTCTCTTCTCCAGGCTGAACAACCCCAACTCTCTCACCCTGTCCTCATAGGGAAGGTGCTGCAGCCCACCAGTCATCTTCATGGCCCTCCTCTGGACCCACTCGAGCAGGTTCATGTCTTTCTTATGTTGGGGGCCCCAGAGCTGAACGCAGTACTCCAGGTGGGGTCTCATCAGAGTGGAACAGAGGGGCAGAATCACATCCCTCGACCTGCTGTCCACACTTCTCTTGGTACAGCCCGGGATGCGATTGGCTTTCTGGGCTACAAGCACACATTGTTGACCCATTCAATTTTTCATCCACCAGCACCCCCAAGTCCTTCTCCATAGGACTACTCTTGATCTGCCCATCGCCCAGCCTGTATCTGTGCTTTGAATCGCCCCAGCCCAGGTGCAGGACCTTGAGCTTGGCCTTGTTGAACTTCATGAGGTTTGCACAGGCCCACCTCTCCAGCCTGTCAAGGTCCCTCTGGATGGCCTCCCTTTCCTCCAGCGTGTCAACCACACCACACAGCTTGGTGTCGTCGGCAAACTTGCTGAGGGTGCACTTGATCCCACTGTCCGTGTTGCCAATAAAGATGTTACATAGCACTAGTCCCAATACTGACCCGTGAGGAATGCCATTCATTACTGGTCTCCACTCCGACATTGAGCCATTGACCACAACTCTTTGAGTGTGACCATCCAGCCAATTGCTGATCCACTGAGAGGTCCATTCATCAAACCCCTGTCTCTCCAGTTTAGAGGCAAGGATGTTGTGCAGGACATTGTTGAATGCTTTGCATATGTCCAGGTAGATGACGTCAGTTGCTCTTCCCTTATCGACCAACACTGTAACTCCACCATAGGAGGCCACTAGATTTGTCAGGCCAAATTTGCCCTTGGTGAAGCCATGCTGGCTGTCACCAATCACCTCCTTATTTTCCATGTGCCTGAGCGTATTTTCCAGGAGGATCCACTCCATGATCTTGCTGGGTACAGAGCTGAGACTGAGTGGCCTGTAGTTCCGTGTGTCTTCCTCTTTTCCTTTTTTAGTATGGGGGTTATGATTCCTCTTTTCCACTTGGCGGGAACTTCACCGGACTGCCACAGCTTCTCACATATGATGGATGGTGGCTTAACCACTTCATCTGCCAGTTCCGTTGGGATCCACAGATGCATCTCATTAGGTCCCATGGACTTGTGCACCTTCAGGTTCCTTAGATGGTCTCAGACCCTATCCTCTCCTACAGTGGGTGGTTCTTCGTTCTACCAGCTTCTGCCTTTGCCTTCTGCGACTTGGGCAGTGTGGCTGGTGCACTTGTCAGTGAAGGCAAAAAAGTACCTCAGCCTTCTCCATATTCCCAGTAACCAGGTCTCCCATTTCCTTCCGGAGAGGGCTCACATTATCTTGAGTCTTGCTTTTGTCACCAATGTACCTATAGAAGTTTTTCTTGTTGCCCTTGACATCGCTAGCCAGATTTAATTCTACCAGGGCTTTGGCTTTCCTAACTAGATCCCAGGCTGCTCAGGCACTTTCTCTGTATTCCTCCCAGGCTACCTGTCCTTGCTTCCACCTTCTGTAGGCTTCCTGTTTGTGTTTGACTTTGTTCATCCATGCAGGCCTCCTGGTGTTTTTGCCTGATTTCCTCTTCATTGGGATGCATCGCTCTTGAGCTTGGAGGAGGTGATCCTTGAATATTGATTGGCTATATTGGGCCTTTCTTTCCTCCAGGGCTCTTAGCCCATGGTACTCTCATGTCCCATATTTTCCTTTACTTCAGTGTGCTGGAGAGCCTTTAGCCTCAGCAGGTGAAATCCATCATGGAGGCTACAGCACATCTTCAGAGTTTAAATCTGTGTTTTGATTGCCTGAAAAGAAGAAAATCTCTTGTGATATATTTATACAGCCCTTACAGAAGAATCCTTTCAGAAAGACAAAAGGAAAGGGCTGACAGGAATACAAAAGACTCTTTACAAGATATATGGTCCCTTCTCCTTAGCTGCGTGAGTAGTTTTACACCTATTTATTTGGATTTTTTTCTTCTTCTCTCCAGCCAAGGATGGTGATTACTGGAGATTGCTTATGCCTGGAAATTACAAACTTACAGCCTCAGCACCAGGCTATCTAGCAATAACTAAAAAAGTGGCTGTGCCCTATAGCCCTGCGGTTGTGGTAAGTGCTCAAACGTGTGTTTGTTTATCGTCTATTACATAAATAAAAAAGTTTATTTCTTTTTTTTCCTTTGTGGTATACATGTAAGCAGGAGGTGATTTTTCAGAATATTTCAGAATACGCTACTTTAGAAGACAGTCTGGCTTGCTGCATAAGCCACTGAGAGTAGTGTCATTGTAAACTCATTTCATCTCCTGCAGGTCATACTTAAAATGAAAAGACACAGAGGAGGGTGCTATTGAGATACTTAAAGGTTTTTTTATTGGTTGATGTGTGAATAGCCAGTCAGATAGAAGATTACAGAATATCTTTAAATAGTGCAACATAAAAAAGTAAGAGATATTGAGGTTTCCATTGAGACCTAATATTTTTAATCTCAATTATCAAGTGACTACCTGCATAGGTTAAAACCAGTGTTCAGCTCTGTGCAGAAAGATAGTGATGGAGCACGGCTTTGTGTAGATACCCAGCATGTATGGTAAGACCTAGGCTGCTTCTGAGAGTACAGAAACATTTTTAATTCATCCTCTGTACAGGTGTGGATTCCACTCTTAATAACTAAAATAAATGCTTATTTCTCTAGTGTGTATCATATGCTAGGATATACTACACTAGAACATCATATCTACACTACTGAGCCATGTATCAGAAAAGCTCCCTGGATCTTATTGATGGCAAAAAATTGAGTATGTGTTTTGCTGTGCTGGGGATCTGCATGGCTAGATGTTAGACAGCAATATTCTTATGATAGTTTTTATTATATGCTAGGTGGTTTATGTGGCTGGCTATTATTCAATTTTAATTTCATTGGCCCATATTTTTTGAAGTTTTTAGACAGGTCAAAGACTGGACAGATGTCTGGTTTTTTTTTGGAAATTTTGCTTACCTGTGTGCATTTTTAGATAAGTTTATTGTACTGATATATTGCATGTATTTAAATCAGCCTTGAGATACTTCAGAATAAACCTAGCCTAAAATGGAAGGTACCTCCCTAAACCTCACGTCTGTGTCATACCACTTCTTTCAATAAATGATGCTTAGAAGCCTGCACTTCTATCTTTCTACAAGTCTTACCGATGTTTTTGATTGTTTCTCTTACTCAGGTTGATTTTGAACTGGAGTCATTGTCTGAAAGAAAAGAGGAGGAGAAAGAAGAGTTGATGGAATGGTGGAAGATGATGTCAGAAACACTAAATTTTTAAATGAAGATTCGGCTTTGCAGCTTTTAATCTATTGTATGTTGATTTAGTATAACGTACTGTGGAAAGTCCCTATATTCTAGATTTTGTGCACTTCACAATAATTAACTTTGAATTTTTCAGTCATCTTTTGATTAATATTACAAATAAATACTATCCTCCTAGCTAGATAAATAAGTTATTAATTTTCTTTCATATTGTTATAGAAAATTTACTCTTATATACAAATCAGAAAAAAATGAGTGAATGTCTTTGCAGCCTATATGGAAGTACAATCTGTTGTGTATTATTTGCAAGTTCAGAATATGTAGGTTAACTCTTGATTTAAAAAAAAATATGCTGTAGTCAATTCCCAATACTGCCAGAAATATTTGACAGTGCATAGTAGTAGACAGTGCTCTTTACTGAGTTCTACAATGGATGTTATTGAAAAGACTTATAATAACAGTGTGTGGTGTAATAATGTTTTACAAGGATTAAAATTCAGTATAACATTTTGTATGTCTCTGGTGTTGGGACTGTTTAAGTATGTAAGAAACATAAAGTGACTTCATTTTAGTAAGCAGAACAAATCTGCGTAAGCTCTTTTATTAAAGATGGCATGGAATGAATTCAGGACATAGCAGAGCTTTATTCCTTAAACTGTTAATAATATTTCAAGATGAGGTTTTAATTATTTCTTGTTACTTATTAATCAAATTAAATATTCTGAATGGGGGAAGAAGAAGAGCTTGTGCATCTTGATAATATGCTGCTTGTGTTTGTTTTACAACAAGAAAAAAAAATTCATTTCAGGTGATGTCTATTTTAATTAGATAATTACCTTTTCAACAATCTTTACATGTGTCAGTGGTGTCTAGGTAATCAGCTAAAAGTTCTTACGTTCACTGAAAGCTACCAAAACATTACAGTTTAGACAATGAACTGGAAGTCTGCTGAGGATATGCATTTAATCTCACAAGCCAAGAGTGGTTTTGTTTCCAACTTTATTTCTTCTGCTGATTAGTCTTATCTAAAACTAGAAGCAAGACAGATGAGTGAAAATTTTTTCAGTGTGGTGAAATTTTCCCAAAATACTTGAAGATGATAGAAAAGCATCTTTTATTTTAAAAGAACCTTTTTCCTCCCATTTTTTTTAGTATGCTTCAATTAACTTGCTTTAGTATTTTATCTAAGATGAGTGAAATTTGTGGAGTCAGAGGATACACATGAACTGTAGAGGGAGCAAGTTTGGTATAATTCTTCTGAAACAACTGCCGGTATGCTACTTGATAGCAGCTAAACATCTCATCTGTTTGAAAGCTTACACAGTATTGCTGGTCTATTTTAATTCAAGATCAGATGTTTGATACAGATTTCCTTCCTCTGTTTCTTCAGTATCACTGTCTGTGTTTTGATTAGCGTGTTATCTTAGTTGATGCTGTAGGAGTTCAGTACTGTTCAGAACCAACCAACAATGCACTATCAGCTCCCGCTGTAAGTGAAAAATCACATGTTCAGGCAGGATCCAAATTCACCTCCTTTGGGTATTCAAAAATCTACTGAAAATACTGTTTTCTGAGAATCTGAAATTCTTTAATAAAAATAGCACTTGATCCTTTAAAGTAACACGCTTAAGGTTTGACACACATTGATAAACTGTACAGCAATCAAAAGGAATAAACTTTATCTCTCTGATCAAGAGTTTGCTATGTTAGCTGTAGCTCATTTGGGTAGTCAATATTTAATTCCAAACTTCAGGGGAACGTAACTTGCTGAAAGTTGTTTTGTAGTGATGAGCTTCAAATCTCCATTGCAATGAGGAACTCCTGTGGCAAACGAAGAATCTTATCTGAACATATCTCAATTACAACTTGTGGCTAGCTGTGCACAAGAGCATGCATAAAGGATGCCCAGTTACACCAACACAGGTGTTTATGGCAATTTGAAAGGCTAAGACATGTAGCACAAAACACACTCAGTGTCTGGAAGTAACGATACTGTTTTCAACTGAACCAGGTGAAACTGAAGCAAACAATATAAAAATGAATTATAACAAGAGACTGCTGGCATGTGGGCAAATGGCTCCAGGAGTGTTTCTGACCTGCAAAGTAATGTAATAAGGCAAGTGTATATTTGTACAGAACACCCTGCTCTGCCCCTTCCAAACCGAACAATTTCAGTCCAAATGATACCACTACACAGTGCGATGCCTGTGATGCATCCAGTCTTCCCTTGTGATGGATTGTGTGGCATAGTTACTGCAGACATTGATCTCATAACAGGTTTCTAATCTATACTTGTATTACGTGCGTGAGATCCTCTGGTCTACTGTTTTTTGCATTTGCAATTAAATGTGGTGTCCCTTAAATCGTCTCTTCGTTTTCGTCTAGATGACTGCTTGGTATTACTATGCTGAGAACAGGTTAAAGTGATTAAATTTTACAACACCAGAACCACTGCCACTGTTCTTGCTGTAGGTAAACATCCTTAAGAACAGCGTAGCCAGGACTCTCAATAAATTAATTCATTATGTAGCTTTCCTAGCTGAGCTGAGTTGTGTTGTAGGACTGTGTATGTTTAAATGGAAGATTAAAGTGTTGTGTGATGCTGATCTTTTGGTTAAAAAGGCACATGCTGTACTATTGTACAATAAATCTACAGGTTTATTTAAAATGTAAAATGTGTAATTTACAGGTTCAAAATGTGACCTCTTTGGCTGTGCATGTTTGCAAAGTATGCCATAAACATCCTCAGTGAGGTGCGTGTGCCAGTTAATTTGCTGTTTGAACAAGGAAATGAGACTGGGATTAGTGCCGGTATCCCATTGAGAGCCATCCATAGCCCCTTAAGTTTGTGGCAGAACATCCTCCTTTTGGAGTATACCTCTTTCTGAGTGCTTTTCCCATGCAGGTTTTCAAATAAAGTCGTGGATAAGAATGAGATACTCTGCATCCATCCAGGGTCAGTGGCGACAGGGCATACACTTCCGTGTGTCTCTCCCTTCCACAGGATTTACAAAGCTATTCTTTTTCTATATCAGTCCTTAGGATTAGAAAGCACACTGTGCAGTGTGCTAGCAAACCTATGGTACTATGCATTCCTTATAACTACAGTGGTTTATAATAAAGAAGTCAAATAAAATCACTGCATCTGAATTATATTTCCCTTCTCCTCAGTTGTGGTGTTCGTGTTGATATATGTGAATTCACATATAGTCCTGGCTGTTCCTGAGCTAATAATAACACGTGTTAAAGTGTAAATTAAATCTGAGATGGTATGTGAGAAAGAATTGCTACCAAGTTTTTTTCTCTGAGGTTTTTTAACAGATCTAACAGGTGTGTTAGGAACACTTAATAACTAGCCCTTGAAAGGAAGAAGATTCAAAGGAGCTTGACAGGTAGCTTTAGAGGAGCTGGAATTTAAACTTAAAAGGCGCAGTTCCCATGAGCCTGATTCTCTCCTATATCTAAGCTTAGTTTGACTCAGGCCTGTGGAGGCTGTAGAATAGCAGCAGTTAATGACTGCCTCTTGAAGAGTTAGAGCAGCTGTCTAGAGCTTCTCAGTAAACCTGCTCCACCAGAGGAGTGCCTTGTTTCCTACTTGTAGTTAGCAGTGGAAATGCAGGACACAGAAACATCCCTGCAGCATTTGCTTTCTGCCTTCCAGAATCTAGCAAAGAGTTCATTCTGATCATCTCCTTGCAGGTATTTTATTCCCCCTGTACATTTCTGTTTATGTAGAGCTACATCTGTTGTGAATAATTTGCTGCTTTGTTAAGTTCGGTCATTGACACAGCCCCTGTTGCAGTATTTCTTTCTGCTGTAATTAAACCCAGAAAACTAAAACACTTAGGTGATTTTCTGAAAGTCATGTCATAAAAAAACCCAGTGCGTGGGCTTGTCTCCTGGCTTGTGAGGGTTTTGAGTGAGCTTGCTTCAAGTTTCCATTTATAAAGCCTGCTTTAGAGGAAAAGAAAATGACAACTGAGAAGTTGATGTAATCCTATGCCTCCAGGGGCTAAGGCTTTGAGCAATATAGTAAGTATTGGAATAGGCAGTATAAAAATGAGATATTTAGAAACAATTGCTGTTTACTTTTACTAACTGTGATAATGGGAGTATATTAAGTGAGCTAAATGGCCTTGCAGTGCTGATCTTTCTTCAGCCCTCCTTATTTTGCCTTTCCGTGCCCCAGGCATTATATTTCAGCAATGACTTAAACACATCCATGATTAGGCATCATTTATCAGAGTGCTAGATTTTCCCTGAATTAATGGTTAATACTTCATGTTATTTTATCATTGTCCTACTTTTGCATTCAGTTAAGCCACCACAGATTTTTGTAATCATGTGTTCTTCTGTGCACAGTGGAAATTGTCAGAGAGAAGCTGAAGAGTTTGGCTACCGCATTGGGAATGTAGAGGGAATTTGACATGTGGGAATGCACTGGAAGCGGTTTAGTATTGTGAAATAAGTAGATTTTGTAGACAGTTTTGCTAACTGTTCCTTAGTAAAGGGCTGAATAGGATTATGTGCCTATGGGATTCAACACGTGCAGTATGTCCATGCCTTTAGGTAAAGCTACTCTGGAAAGATTCCTGTTAGTTTCACTGAGGTTTTTATCAGACCCTCAAGCCTGGAATCTGAGTAGTCAGGAGTATCTGGTCCCAAGGCTGCTCATTGTGGTTAACAGTAATTGTTCTTCATCTTTTCTAGGAGAAAGATTCAAAATAATAAACACGAAATGAAGTCCCCTTTCACAAAGTGCAGAATTGGTTGTGGAATTTGTTAAGAGTCATTGCAAGACCTAAAGTAGAAATAATGGAGATTAGCTGAACTAGTGGCAACCTACAGCTCACTAAGCCTCTGAACCACTGCTCAGTGGAATATAGGAGGGCAAATCAGGTTGCCATTTTTGTAACATTCACCCACTGAGGATGTGGTCGGGGCCATAAGTCAGAGACAAAATAAAGAGCTAGGTGAACTTCTCACCTGACTGCAGCATGGCAGCAACAGAGGAGTTCACAGTGTTGCAGTATCATCTAGTAATGTGATATTCCAGTTCACCAATTTAGAGGAGCATCTGTTCTGTGGTCTGCCATGGTGCATGTGCTGGTGTCCAAGGATGAAGAACCAACATCCTCCTCCATATTCCAGTACTTCTCACACAAAAGGTAAATTAAACACATTTCAGCAACTATGGACAAGATTCAAGAGAAGGCATGGCTGCCAAGAGCAGTATGAAATTACAGTTTGACTCCCCTCCCTTCAGCTCCCTAAATATCCACTCGTGGTTTTCCTTAGCTACTTCCAGTTCTCTCTCTGGGTGTGTCAAAAACTAGCCCAGCCTGAGCAGCTCAAGGATCACTTGTGCCAAGATGCATCAGGAGTGGATTACAGGGCTGTGCTGTGTCTAAAGATCCTAAGTCTGCACTTACGCTGTGAGGCAAGTCCCCTGGCAGAGCCTGGCATCCTGAATATTCAGGTCTCCAGAATGGCCACCTCATCAGCAGCTAGCTTGCTTTTGGCCTGCGTGCTTATGTTTCTTCCAATGGAGGTAGAAGACAGCTGCTACACCTCCCTGGTGGTATGGGAGGAAGGATCTGGCCTGTGCCTCTGACTCCACATCAAAGAATGGCAGGCATACATTAAGATTTAGAGGCTGGGAAGAGACATGGTTTCTGAGACATGGTTTTAGAAATGCAATCTGAAAAGGAATAGTAGTAAACCTAATACCACCTTCTTTCCCCTTCAGATTCAGGTAATTTGAAGGTTTATCACAATAGTGATATTTATCCCTGTATATGCATATATCAGCATATCTTTGTGTTTCCTAGGGGGGCTGGAATGCTT